TATAGAAATACAATTAAATGTTTATTAATGTTCTTGCATCTTGTAACTTTGAGAGACTCACTTATCAATTCTGGAAGCTTTTTGGTTGACTGCAATCCTCTCTCTTTCTACACAGACAATTACATCCATGGATACAGTTTTACTTCTGTTTCATATCAATCATGTTGTCTATAAATACGGCTTTGTTTCTTTCTTTCCAATCTAAATTATTTTTATTTATTTCACTAGATAAAACTTGTTACAATGTTGAACAGACCTGATAGAAACATCCTTGTCTTGTTCCTGATCTTCTGGGGTATGCAAGATACTGTGAATTTTACCTTGTTGGGTCACTATCTCTGTATCCCTATAAATATTCTTGAGCTGTGTTCTAGGAATGTTATTTGGAAACCATTTGATGGCTTCAGGTCTTACTTTGAAGATTTGTTAAGTAGAATCCAAGCAGGGATATTTCTAGGATAATTATTCTGCATAACTGAGGTAAGGCCCTTTTCAATACTCGATCCAATGCCTATGAACAGGTGGTTGGGGGCAGCAGTTACTATGGCCCTCTGTGAGTGTCAGGCTCTGCTCCTTTTATTCCCACTGGTTGGTTCCTTTTCTAGATTTGAGTAGTTTCCTTACAGACATGAGTTGACCAATAATCTCTCCAATATGTATGGGAGTCCATCTGCTAATCTCTGGGCTCTCTTGTGTAGCTCTCTCCTCTATGTTACTTTCTCCTGTGCATGAAGCCACCTTGTTCTCCCTGAACTCCTAGCTCTGTCTCTTCAACTGAGGAAGTCTTTTGAGCTCTGCCTGGGTTCCCCTACCCTGTGCCACAGCCTGTAAATTATTCAGATGGGAAGCTATGGCAATTTCAGGGCTCATCTCCCTTTATTTCCTGACTCTCAGGATTCAATGTCCTCTGTTTCTTGATACACAGTGTCTTTGAAAATCATTTTTTAATATAATGTCAATTTTTTATTTGTTTCAGGAAGAAAAACAAATCTGATCTCCATTATTACCTCTTGGTTGGAAGCAGAATCTACCATTATAGTATACTATTATGTAATATATTACATTACATTCTGATATACCATACTTGAACATACCAAAAAGCAGTAAGATTATGTTCAAAATATAGAATTGGACACATATATAAAGGACAAGTTTTATGTTTTCATAATTTATATACTGACAACTCCCACTTCATATGATGTACATGTGCACATATAATTTTGCCCAAGTTCAAAAAATATCTAAATTATACCGAAATATAAATATTTATTTATTTATTTATTTATTGAGACAGAGTCTTGCTCTGTTGCCCAGGCTGGAGTGCAGTGGCGCAATCTTGGCTCACTGCAAGCTCCGCCTCCCGGGTTCACGCCATTCTCCTGCCTCAGCCTCTCGAGTAGCTGGGACTACAGGCACCTGCCACCATGCCCGGCTAATTTTTGTATTTTTAATAGAGATGGGGTTTCACCATGTTAGCCAGGATGGTCTCGATCTCCTGACCTCGTGATCTGCCAGCCTTGGCCTCCCAAAGTGCTGGGATTACAGGTGTGAGCCACTGCACTCAGTCAAAATATAAATTTTTAATTGTATCTAATGGCTTCTCATTCTTCTTAAGATTTATAAAAGTTCAAATAAACAAGACATGTTATATTTATGTTTATATTACTAACACAATAGCTGTACTTTATAACTAAACACTCATTTATACATATAGTTGAATCCACATCTTCAAATTCTTATGCAAAATGAAAACAAGGTTAATACCAAATACCTTTAGGAAATACACAGTTAAATACATTTATATCCAAACATGGACTTTAGTTAAATAGGAGAATAAAAGATGAAGCTATTCAAATACATAATAATTGTCTAGTATAGATTAGAAGAAGAAAAAAAAAACATAAAAGATGATCTCTGTAAAGAGAGAGAAGAAGAAAACAAAGAGAAATAATGTAAGGCAAAGAGGCTAAATAAAAGAGTAAATTAAAGAAGAATAACATCTAAATCACTAGTAACAAGAGTCTAATATGGCTGGTATAGGTTGAGACCAACTTGTACAAGGCTATAAGTACAGGTTGGGGCTTGAATGTTATTCTTGGTTCATTCAATCAATCTTTATTGAGTGTTTACTATATTCCAAGTATTGTTTAAGATAACAAACTATGACCACAGCCTGCTTCTGTATGGGCCATGGTCTAAGAATACTTTTTACATTTTTAAAGTTAGAACACAACACATACAAAAAACAAAGAAACGTATATAATAGAGGCCATATGGGCTGCAAAACCTAAAATATTAACTATTTTGTCATTACAGAAAAAGTCTGTCAAAGCCCAGTTTAAGATATTGGGGATAAAACAGTGTAAAAGAAAAAAACAAAAAAGAATGCCTTGCCTTTATGGGATATTCTAGTGGGAAGGATACAGATAAACAATTAAAATATATGGTTTGTCAGATGGTACATGCACAAGTTATGCAGGGAAGGGGATCAACTGTTAGCAAAGGGGCAGAGATTGCCTCATGGCCCATAGAGCAAAATGGAGTGACCACGTGGGATAAGGAATGATGTGGTTATCTGATCTTTTGAGGATGATAAGGGCTATAAAGAGATAGCGTCAAGGAGAAATATTTTGATCGTGATTGCTGTAGTGACGGTAGTGGAGGGGGTCATTTCACTTCAGAAGCCCAGGGCGCTAGGACTCTCACTCCTCTCCTGCCAGTCATGGGGTAGAGACTAGGGAAGAGTGTGGTTTCACTGGCAATACCCAGAACTTCTGACTCTTTCTAGATAATCAATGCTTTATTGAGCGGGAGAGCTACAGGTCATAGCTGGGCTGTGAGAGGGTTTATTTGACGGTAAGAGTAAACTGGAGGAAAGAGTCACCAAGCAGGATCCTCAAAGTGACAAAATTTATAACAGCAGGCATTTCCTGAGGTTGACAATGTACTAGAAGAGACCACTGACAAGCACAACATTCTGGCGGTTAGATAAGTCTGGGACAAAAGATGAAATTATTGCTGTTGTAAGCACCATAGCATAACAAACACCATACTGAATCAAATCAGTATTCAGTGATATTTTATTGAAATGTTTATTGAGCACCTACTATGCACCCAAAACTTTTAGGAACTGAAAATAAAATGATATGCAGGAAAATATAAACAAGTTCCATCTCTCATGAAATTTCCATCTGAATGCTGTGGGTAATTTCAATTTTTTTACATATACTTTGTGCAACTTAGAAGATACTACTTACATAGGGTGGGCAGGGAGGGCACTGGGGGACATACCTTTTATGCTGGCTGTTGAAAGATGAAAAGGAGCTAGCCACAGGGTAAGAAGCTGGGAAGCGAATAAAAGTGAGAAGCCCCCGAGGCAATAAAGAGCTGTCAGAACATGAATTGATGACTGTGGCAATTTCGCCTCAGGCAGTTTTGTCAGAGAGCACTACTGGTCCTGTGAGGAGGCAGGGCCTCCTGGGATAGTCCCCAAGTGGAAGGCTAGTCGGAACTGAACCTGCCCTTCTTTTTGTTGCTCCTACTCATGGGACCCAGGAAGGGTGTAGGAGAGGGGAATTTCCCTCGAATATCATGTCGCTAAGATTCACAGCCTTTAGGTGGTATCCTTACTTTGTCCACTGTGGTGCGGTGCACGCACACTTTTTTATATGCTTATTATAGACAGCAGGAGGGCAAGAAAATTAATAGCAATCTTACGAGCAGCAGCAGCAATAGTTGGCATTTATTGAGGGTTTATACATGCCAGGTACTTTACATGTAGTAATTAATTTAGTTTTCAAAATCATTCTGAGATGGGGAATAATACAAACTCCATTTTTCAGATGGGGAAACTAAGGCAAAGAGAATTGAGTAGCTTGTTCAGTTCATACATCTAGTAAGTATTCAAGGTTGGCAACATGGCCATAGAAATCTCAGGTTCTTACAGTTAACGTACTAAACTGCCTCTTTTCTTGAGGAACAATCTGTAAAGATAAAGTCCAGGTATATACTTTCATTTTATAGAGGTAGTTTGAGCCTCACTTTAAATATTACAAGTATTTCCCAAATCCCATATTTTCATTACCCTCATCATTACTATTAATTATTTTAGTTTGATTCTGCGAATAATTGCTTTTTGAGGGATTAAGATCCCCCTTTTCCTTTCCTCAATCTCTATTCCTGTATAAGCTTATTTTCAGGCCTTTAGGCTCTTGGGTAATATGTTCAATCATAAACTTTTACACTCTACTTCTCCTCAGCTTCAGCTCAAATACATTCTCTTCACAATTCCCTCAGTCCTCCAGCTCAATCTGCCTCTTGTTCCTGTGTTTTCCTCCACAGATATAAGATTTGTGGTTTTGAATAATAACTAGTTTTGAGAATAAAATAATAGGCAGTTGCCTAAGTTCACTTCGTCAGGTAATCTCACTTTTGCAAGCCAGGCAGTTGGTAGTACTTGTGAGATTAAAATTTGGCACTCAGATAAATAACAGACCATAAATTTCATGATACTGATAACTGGATAATTCTGTTTTCCTTACCTTTATTTCTTAGTTTACTAGACTCTGTTTAAATAAACTGATTAAATCAAGCAAATTTTCAGAGATTATGTATGAAAATAGGAGTGTAATAGATTTGAAGGCCTAAAACCAGCAAGCAACTCCAAATACTCCAAACAAACAAACAAACAAACAAACAAACAAACCTTTAGTCAGTGCGGAAATGGCTATTTATGTATTAATTTTTTTGGTACTTTTAAGTCAAATCTAAAAGTTCTAAGAGAAAGAATATCTCTTAAATCTGACATGAGAATACCATATGAGAACAAATAAAATAAAAATTGAAAATTATCTGTATTTCATTTATATTTCCAGTCAACATAACTTATTTCATTAAATTCATTAGCTATATAATCTCATTTCATCACTTTTGTGTGCACCACAGGGCTCTAGACAAAATGATTAAAATACAACATAGCCAGATATGGAAAACATCCTTACCCTTGAAGAACACAAAATTCCCGTCGCTATTTTCATAAACTGCATCGATACTAGGAGGTAGGCCCCGCCAGAAGTAAGTAATTTGCATTGGGTATCCATCCATCACCCTGTTGTTTCTCACTCGCCAAAACCACTGGTCCTGCAAACCAAGCAAAGGCATCTCTCAACAAATATGTAGGCCTCCCTGGTATTTCACGGTGCAATGGCTGGATGCTTTTTAAGTCAAGTTGGTTTCCTTATTATTGTCTTACATTAAATCAGTCAAAGAGCTAAACAACTTGACCACAATGATCACAAAATTTTTTGTAGTGAACTCCTTAATGTCTAAGCCATACAGTGCAATTAAAAACATAATGTCAACATACTGAATCTTGTCATTTTGCATTTTCTCCAGGGCTTTCTAGATGGAGGTAGCACAGACAAATCCCTGCCAGATTTGTGGATATGTCAGTTTCTTGAATATGAGAGCAGCGCTAGGGCCACGCATGCTTCCTAACGTTTTTAGATATATGCAAGATCTCCATACCTACCATGTTGAGGATGAAATATCTGTCTGTATGCCCGTTATGTCTATTGTCTCATATAGTTATAAAGTAGAGCCCTCTTTCATCATTAAACATATTTTTGGCTGATAACTTTACTCAAGAAAAATAGGCAAAATTATTTTCAAAAAATAAATCATCACGGAGGATTCTAGTCTGGGTTAATTGTCTTTCCTATCTGCTCTGGTAATACCCTGTACTTCACCCAATCATAGCACAGGTCATTTTACAGGAAAAGTGTCTATTCATTCTTACCGCTAGTGAAGAACACATGGCTGGACCCACAGCAGGTTTTTATAAAGTTGTTGAATTAATAATTGGCCTACACACAATATGTTTCACCATAATATTTACTAAGGGCAAAAAATCCCGAAAAACAAAAACAAACCCTTCAAACCCTAAAAAAGATACATCTGATGACATTAAGTAGTTTTCTATTTAAAATCTGAAAATAAATGAAAGACGACTCAGTGTTTTAATATTTAAAAACTAGGTGTATTTTAAAAATTGATTTTAATACAATTAAAATTTCACTTTATTTTAAATTTCTGTACGTATAAGCAATATTTCACTTGGATGTTAAGTATATCCACTATTTAGACGAGTATATATCACAAAAATACTTCCATTTTAATTCTCTTTCTTTCTTGCTCTTTTCATACAACTTATATATTATATAAGTGATTTATTTTAGGACCTTCTCATGCTTTTGGTTAACAATATGTTAGCCTGACCAAACTTTCTAGGATTTATCAGTTACTCATACACACACACACACACACACACACACACACACACACACACACACACAATCTACTGAGGATTCTTGGACTTCAGTTAATATGATAACAATGAACTTTCTTTCACCCAAATGAATCTGAATATGAAAACTGTCTTAAAAGCCTTTAATAGTTGTACTTTGTTCTAGTTATCATGTACTGTCTTCTCTACCAACTTCTGTAATTTTTTTAAAAACGAGGAAATAGCTTAATTAATGGCTCTAAGCTCATATGCAATTCTTGTTCTATTGCCTAACAACTGTGTCACTTTGGTCAATATACTAGTCATTGAGTTAGCACAAATTAATATCTAATTTATAGCATGATTACTGTATAACATACAAAGAACTTTCTGAGAACCTGGCACAGACTAGTACCAACATTTTTGGTTGTTGTTATTGTTAAAATTATATGGAAACAAGTTATCTACTTTCCCTGTTCATATCCCTGTTTACAGTTTTGACACTTGTTCATTGTTTCCTCTTTGGATGTCAACTATACTATAGTACCAGCCACGTATCTCATTCTAATCAATTTGTAAAAAATGTTTTTCACCTTTTCTTGATAATTTTCATGGTGCTAGGTGACCTGTATTAATAATGTTTTAATCCATATGCAGTAGATAAAATAAACAATTTTCAAATACAATTTCATATACAGATTGATTCAGAGAAATATGCAGGGGCACGAAAATAAAGAGTTCACTGCAAATAAAATATAAGTCAGTGATATTCTAATCACTTAAAAGAAAAATCATAATTTTTGTTTAGATATAACAAGGGCTTCTAACGGGGTGTTTAAACCATGCCAATCTCCAAATAAAGTGTTCTTAAATTATTGTAATATATATGCCAAAATAATTAGTAGAAATGAATAAACAAATGGATTCTGATAAAGAAATAATGACCATGACTATCTATGAAACAATGAAACAGAAAGCTCTCCAAGCTGAAGAATGGGAGGAAATCTAGTGAAAAAACCTGGACTACATTCCAATTTTTCCCACAAAAGCCCTTCCCATTGCTATAATCTCACCACATATGGAGCCGGGCCAGTGGCTCTATGGAACAGACACGTGTTGCAGTCTGCAGATAGAAGTACAACCCCAACTTGCCACTAATAAGGGGAGAAATGCAAGTTCTGTCTCAAGATAAACATAGTCAATTTGCAAAAATTCAGAAGGTCATGTGAAACTGCAGATGAATTCCACTGGTTTTTGTTGACAGCAGCTTTGGCAGAGAGTCATATAAATTATAGATATTCAGGTTCTGCCTCTATTCAACTTATCTGCAGTTTAGCAGAGAGCAATAGTACAAATAATTTAGAAAGCATCTGTCACAGTGGATGTAAACTCACGCCATGGTTACTATAGATTGCCATTTCAGAAATAGGGTTTGTGAACAATTCATAGAGAAAGGATGCTTAAAATGCTATTTAGGTCTCTGTGCAAATTTTCCTTATAAGTGAGACATCCCCTGATGATGCTATCTAAAACTGAAGTCCCTCACTGCACTCACACAGGTCTGCTGGATATCTTCACCTCCCTTTCCTGTTGTATTTTCCTTCACTGCATTTATAGTCGTTTTATACAATACTTGTTTTACTAATTTATTGTTCATTCTCTCTCCACTAAATATATAAGCTCCCTGATGGCAAGAATGCCAGTCTTTTGTTTACATATAGTCCCCTATTTCCAGAAAAGGACCTTACACATAATAGGTGTACAATAAATATTTCTTTAAAGAAAACAAAATGTGAAGAGAAAAGAGCAAAGTAAAAGTAATGATCCTTTTAGAAGTCAATGTTTTAAAATTACATCTCAGTTTTTTTCCCTGTTGTGGTTAAGATGTTTCCTTATTAAAAAATTATAAAAGCTATAAAGGGGTCACATGAACATAAAAATTCTATTTGAATAGGTAGATGTTTAGTACATATTCTGTTTTCTAGAAAAGTATGATATTTAAAGGTCTTTGAACAATAAAGAAAAAAATACATTTGGTTTCACCCTTCTAAACAAGATAAGTTTGGTTTTATGGGGAGGGAAAGAAAGAACCCTTATGGAGCTCTAAATCTGCTATTTGTATGTTGCCTTAAGCTTCTTATCTCCTTCCCTCCTTCCTCCTTCCCTCTCTCCCTTCCTCTTTTTCTTCTCTCTCCCTCTTCCTCTCTCTTTCTCCTCTCCCTCTCTCTTTCTTTGGTTAAGCCCTTATAGAAGGAGGTGGAAGGGGAAATATTAACCATAACTAGCCTATCTGTAAAGTCAACTTGTGAAAAAAACACTGCTTAAACATTACCAAATTGGAATTCCTACTTAAACACCAATATTTCACTTACGATACAAGCACGTACGGTCTTACATGCAGATTTATTTTCCATGTAGCATAGAACCCAGACAGATCATTTAGTTCACAGAGATAAGTTCACATAGTGTACACCATGGAGCAGTAACACACGGGGAAATTCTGTTTATTACTCTTTTACATCCTTTAAAATTCTGGCTCATGACAGGTATATTTGTTTGCTGAGAACTGTAAGGAAAAGGCCTACTGTCTGAATATGAAACGATGATGTTAATGATCTACTATCAGCAGGAATTGCTGTTTTCAGGACCTTTTAATAAAACTAATCAGCTGAGGCAGGAGAATAGCTTGAATCCAGGAGGCAGAGGCTGCAGTGGGCCGAGAATGTACCACTTCACTCTACCAGCGTGGGTGACAGAGCGAGACTACGTCTCAGAAAAAAACAAAACAAAACAAAAAACAAAAAAGCTAATCAGTAGAACTGATCTACTTTTACTTCTCTTCTGATACATAGATTCATTTATTCAACCAACAGCTTCCCATAAATCTACAAATGTGTCACATGTTCACACTGAACATTTCTAGCAGTCACCAGTTGTTCTTTGGGCCCTCCCTTGCCAAGCCACCTTGGTCCTACTCTGTCTAGTCTTCCTCCTTTCTAAAACAGTATCTCAAATCTCTTGATTTCTCACCATCACCGCTGTCACCATCAGAGTGCCACTGTATTTCACTGAGATGACTTCAATGCCAATGCAAAGCCTCTACTTTGCCTCCTACTGCATCTAGAATGAAATCCAAACTTGGACTCCTGCCTCCAGCTCCTATGCAGCTCCCAGCAGTCTCTCCTGTGCTCACATCGCTCCATTTGTATCAGCTTCCTTTCAGCTGCTTGACAGAGGAAAGCTCTTTTCTTCTTAAGACATCTTGCAGACAGTTTGCCCTACAGCAGGCCCTCTGTTTCTGTGGTTTCACTGTCCACAGTTTCAGTTACCTGTGGTCAACCCTAGTCCAAAAATAGGTAAGTCTAGTGTTATAAGGTATTTATCCACAAAACTTTTATTACAGTATATTATTGTAATTGTTCTATTTCATTATTAATCTTGTACTGTGCCTAATTTATAAATTAAACTTTATCATAGGTGTGTGTATGTATAGGTAAGAACATAGTGTATGGTCTGGTACTATCTGCAGTTTGAGGCATCCACAGGGGGTCTTAGAACATATCCCCCATGGGTAGGAGGAGACAACTGTACTTTAAATGTTCTTCCTTTTCCATCAATTTGAACCACAAATCATCCATTAATTCTCAGCTGAAATGTTATTCCGTAAAGTGGGCTTGGCTGCCCTCTGACTGAAATTACGTAACAGTATGCTATGATCTCAATGTTTGTATCCCCTCAAGTTCTTATGTTGAAATCCTAATACCCAAGGTATTAGGAGGTGGGGCCTTTCCTTTGGGAATGATTATGTCTGGAAGGCAGAACCCAAATAAATGAGGTTATTGCCCTTATAAAAGAG